GGGCAGCCCTCAGGGCAGTGACCGCCCTTGGGGAGGTGCCCTTTGCCGCCGGTGCGGGCTCCAGTGCGGTCATCCCGCTCCTGCCCGGCTGGAGTCGTGGCCCGGGGTGTGCCCAGCGTGCCGCAGGGATGATAAGGCTGCGTCGGGCAGCGCTGCCGAGACTTCCTGGGGTGGGTGGGGAGCCTTTGAATCGCTGTTTAGGCATGGAGAAAGAAACCCGGGTTTTCTCGGTAACCCTTAGGCTCAGGGTTTTGGTCTGAAATGCGCATTTCCTAGGTTCCTTTTCCGCTGTGTCTGCAAATACTTAAGCACTACATTTGCTCTGCCGCGGTACCCTTCAAAGTACAAAATGGCATCTGAACTCTTGAAAGGGAAGCAACATTGCCCCCTGAAATACATGTGCTTGTTTTCATCTACTGGTTAATATAATTTCATTAATAAAGTGTCTTGTCAGTGGAGCATTGAGCCACAGACCCCTGAATTTCTTTGGGGAACGATTTCACACTTAAATACTTAAACTAGTAGAAGATCCTTTTTTATTCTTTCTCGGCCTAAGTTCGTTAATTACATTGTATTTTCTAAATCCACTTTCATTGGCGATCTACAGCATAGTAAGTTCATCAGCTTCTAAAAAATTGTACACTTTTCTCCTGTACCCGTTACTTGAGACAATTACTGGTGTTCATAGTCTTTTGGGTTTTCTGTCACTCTGTGCTGGTAGTAGCCATATTCGTGGGCCTGTGGTGTTTCAGCTTAACAGCTAACTCAAATAATTTAACTGTCATACTGAAGAGCAAAAATGTATTTTTCCCCTCTTTTTATATTAGCTCAGATCTCTCCATGTGTCTTTAATCTCTTCATGACTGTTTGATCTGCTTCTAGTTTGTCTTTCATGCCAACTTCTCCTACTGGGTTATACTGTTCTCCAGATAACTCTGACAAATGAGAGATGCAACCTATCCATCTGTCCATCATTAACAGTGGTTTTAGTAATTGTTTCCGTTGGGTTTTTTTTTTCTCCTTTGGTGTGTAACTGTCAGTTTTTCATTACTAGCCGAGGTGGGAATAGTGATGCAGGCAACATGCTCTTTTGCTTAGTTTTCTGACCCATTTGGAGTCTCTGTAGATCCATTTCGAGACACTATTAATAAAAATTGTGACCACACAGCAGTATTGTCGTATATCTTGTCAGAAGCGGAGCTTTTCTGATAACTCCAGTCACAGGACATAATCTAGCTCAGGCAGAATCTAAGGGTGTAGGAAGTGACAGGAGGTATATTTTGTTCTTCAGGAGTGCAGAGGAGTCAGCATATGTCAATTTTGATAAATTCAGGTTTTGTGAGTAGCTAGGGAAAAAGTCACTGGGCAAGAGGGGTTCGTGTTTCAGCTCAATGCAATTAGTGAAGAGATTTGCCAGTTGTTCACATCCTTATTTTACTCCAAGAAGATACTCAAGCAAATATAGCTTAGCAGCAGATACTTTTGATCCTCATGATAGAAAAATTAAAGGAACAAGAGATATTCTTATTATATGTATTGGTTACTGCAGTACAGCCAGCTGTAGTGGTTTGGGTAAGTTGTACTGTACTATTCTGATACTCCATATTGCCAAAGAATGGGGATGAGTCCCCTCATGTACTGCAGAATTAAAATTATTTTTAAAACTGTGTGAGTTTATTCTCCTAGCTCTGCTTCTGCTTTGGGGTTTGGTGTTTTTTTCTGTTTTAATAATAAAATGTGTACCTGTGGCTCATCAGAGGAAGAAAGAGACTAAATCCAACATTTCTGTTCTTCAGTTTCATGGTTATTGTGTCTTGAACTATTTCTGCACTTCAGAAAGTTAGAACTGACTGTCACACCAACGCAGAACTGTAAACTCCTGTTGCAGACAGATTTTTTTTACCCATGCTGATTTGAGAAGTGGGACTCAATGAGTAAGCTGTTTTCTGTCTGTGTCTCTTTAAGTATTGGTGAATACGTGTTGCTTCAGTCAAACTTGCTGTGTTAATTTTATCATGTTTGAAGTGCATTGAATTTTTGTAAGAAAAAAAGTGTGTCTAAATTATAAAAGACCATTTTTCTCTCTTCCTTTATCCCACCGTCTCCCACAGAGTGTTTATATAGCATTGTGGTATAACCATAAGAGTGAGTGTCAAATAAGTGAGCCAAACATGAGGTAGGTTCTTTGTTATTTGCATATTTCAGATATCATGGTTAATGCATTGCATGGTGAGTTTATGTTTAAGCACTATAAAGGAACAACATTGTATCACCTATGTTACAGATCCTTTTGTAGGGTAGGCATGAAAAAAATCAAGGTGAGAATGAGTTAAGGGGAGTTGCTGAAGGCCACTGCAAGTCATGTAGTGCAGAGGACATTCGTCATCTGACAGCTAGCTTCTAGGCCCTGCTACTCTTCTCAGATTACTGGGGTTTAGATTTTTAGAGAAAATTGAATTGGCAGTCACTTTTCACCTGTCTGCAAAGATTAGAATTGAAGATTCCATAGCTCTATGCACAATTAAGAATACCACAAGTGTCTAAAGTTATATAGAATGTTCAATGAAGTATTTTGCTTTCATTGCTTTTTATCCACTGTTGCTAAGGCAACAACAAACTTTGAACATGGGTTCTGCAAGATATGGAGTATAAAACCATAGCTAAAAAGTACCCTTCCAGATCTTAGGGCATCTTCTTTTTTTGTCATTTCCTTGTCAAGAACAAAACGTCTTGATCAAACTTCAGTTTGTGTAATTATGTTTGGTCAGCTCAAGATTTAAGTCACTGTGGTATACAGCATGTGTCTGCAGAATTACAGAGGTACTTTGTTCTGCCCCAGACCTGGCTGAATTTTTATTATGCACACAGACCTCCTAGCGATAACCAGAAGTGGAGGGTCTGGAGCCCAAGTCTTACAAGGACCGGCTGAGGACAATGGGGATGTTCAGTCTGTAGACCAAAAGGCTCAGGAGAGACGTTTTCACTCTACAGCTACCTGAAAGGAGGCTGTAGCAAGTAGGAGGTCAGTATCTTCTCCAAGTAACAAGTAGCAGGACAACACGAAATATCCTCAAGTTGCACCAGGGGAGGTTTAGACTGGATATTAGGAAAAAAAAATGTTCATTAAAAGGATTGTCAAATATTGAACAAGCTGTCCAGGGAAGCAGTGGAGTCACCATCCCTGGAGATACTGAAAGGATGTGTAGATATAGCACTTAATGGTGGACTTGGCAGTGCTGGATTAACCGTTGGAATTGAACACCTTAGAGGTCTTTTCCAATACTATTTTAACACATTTCCAGCACCGGTTACTTTTGTCTGCAAGATCTTGGCCATGTGCAATGTACAGAACTAATTAAAATTATACAACAAAAGAAACATCCACAAAAGCCTTGTGGTTTTTTAAGGAGATAGAAGTTGTGTAGGCTACCATTGTTATTCTGGGCACTGCTCATGTTTTTTAATAATTTACAACTCTGCAAAGTCTCTAGATTTGTTATTAAGTTGGGCCTTGGCTAATAGCTTTTGTTGGTTTTAATTGTAAGAAAGCCTGAATGATTCTGTTAGCTTTTGGTCAGTTTTTAACTTACTGCTAACACAAAGAAATGTGGGCTCTTTGATAATTCTTAAACAGTGTGTTGTTTTCCCTTCTCTGGGGACATATTGATCCTGGCTGGTCATTACTTATTTGACATTTTCTTTGCTTCCTCTAGCTTCTTAAGAATTCAACAATGTTTCTTCCATTTTGTTATGCATACAAAATAAATCAAATTCTTTGTTGCTGTAGCATTTAGGAAATGCTTTATACCTTGTTGAGGATTAAAATACAGAGAATAGGATATACTTCTGAGATGACTAATTGCTTATCTGTGTTACTCTGTTTGCTTCATTTTCTATAGCAGTTTATTGATTAAAACCTGTGTTAAAACCTCACATGTAGCTTTTTGATAATAATCTAGCTTTCTTTAACAGTTAGAGTAAAAACTTCTTCATTTATTCACTTGCTTTGGGGAATTCTAATTACCTCCCACTGGAAAAGGAAGTGTTACGACCTTTGGGATAACTAGGACTAGAAGTAGTCTGGTTTCAGGGCAAGTTTACTGTTCCTCCAAAATTCTCCAAATCTTTGAGAGCAAGAGAGATTGTTCTCCACTTCGGGTTCTTGATCAGAGCACTAAGAACCATGGCAAATAATGTATTTAGAGAATTAAATTATTTTTTTTCCTGTGCTGTTAAGTCAAATGGAAAAACAACAAAAGCCAACACCAAAACAAACAAAAAATCCCCCAGATGAATTAATTTTGCTTGGAGCATTTAAAAATAAGTATTTCAACTGGGAAGTCCAGCTGAAATTAAACCTGGAAAATTCTCAAGGCCTAATGTAGACAGCTGAAACACAAAACTACCTTTAGAAGTCCCATATATAAAAATTTGTTATGATTAAATCTATTCTGAGGCCTCATTAATGATGTATTAGGAAGTGTCTATTAATATAAAAGTAATTGCAGCTAATGAATAATGGGGACTCATGAGAAGTAAATTTTAAACGTAAGGACTTAGGTTTATTTTTTTCTCCAAAGGTGCCATGCTTTAAAACTTCCATCAGTGTTTTCTGGCTTGTGGTTATTTGCAATAAATAGAGTTACTGGGAAGGCTTAGGGGATCGTAAGTCTTTTAATTGTCTGACCTACAGCTGGTATTGTCTGGCAGTCTCTTTTAAGTTACCTGAGAAGGGGGGGAAACCTGATCTCTGGCACACCACCTGATTCATTCAGGTGATTCATTCATCCATCTGATGGCCACATCCAGATCTCACTACCTCTGAAAAGTTGCTTGAAGAAGGTCAGAGAATAATCAAGAACACCTCTCCCTCTGTAGATGTCTTGATTAAGAATTTACATTAGTGAGGTATTACACATTTCCCTAATTTTAAATGACAGCATGGTCATGAACATGGTGGTTTTGGTTTTTTTTAACAGTCTGAAGTGTTTTGGTTACTCAGAACTTGAACTTAAAAGAGGTAATGAGGAAGAGAAAACGCAGAACTCCTTTCATGCAAAGTGAAATACTAAATTAGAAGAGTTGAGGAGAGTAGAAGAGAAGTAATTATGGTGAAGAGAATGGGAAGAAAGAAGGCTGGAAAAACTACTCAAGGCATAGGAGGAAAAACAAAAGGATTGTACACTGAAAAAGGACAATAGGTGATGTAGGTTCTCAGAGTGCTTGTGGTTTAGGGCGTGTACTCCCCAGTTTCAGCGTCTTCACTGACTCTACAAACCAAACTGCAACTCCCTCCCCCATTTCAAAGAGGGCATGAAAGGCAAAGATAACGGGTTGAGGTAAGAGCAATTTACTGGAAACAGCAATGAGATAAAAAAAACGAACGGGAACAGGAACATCAATAATACTAAGGACAGAAGGTATAAGAAAATAAATTATTGTCCCAGAAAAAGAATGGTAGTAGACAACACTGGATGGTTCCCTCTGCCCCATTTTCAAAACCAGAAGAAAACCTTATCCCTGGAAGAGAAACCCTTTCCCCTGCCCTGGCAATGATATGAGTTGGTACAGAATAACCTCCGGGTCCTAGTTCTGCCCTCTCCAGAATACTTAAAAAATTAAACCTGATAGAGGAATAGGATAAACCAGGAGGAAGGTTAAATGAACAATAAAACAGAGAAAAAGTAGGAATTAATGAAAAGTAGATTTTCAGCTTTACTTCATTTATGAAGAAATTCTTCAGAGGTCAGAATAGCTCCATAGATCTCAGTATAAGAGCTTTATCTTTTAAATGTTAAAAAGTTTTGATTGGCATAGTCTAGCTCAGAGGTCATAGCAAAACATGATGTATCTTGGTATAGCAGTGCAGACCATGGTTTATAATCATCCATGTTTACAGGTCTTTAAGCTGTGAAATAAGCAAGTAATTGTGAATCATCTGGTCTTTAGTTACTGGGCTTTGCCACAGAGCTTGGATAAGGTTAGTAATGTAATATTTGTAGAGATACCTTTTTAATTACTTTATGGACATTGGACCACAGAATTTGTCAGAGGTACAGTTTTTATGAATGCATTTTTCTGATTTCCATAGCTTACCCACGGGTAGTGGTGGTGGATGTTTTAATGAACATGCTCTGTAATACTTCTCCTGAACTGGACTAAGGAACTTGCAGCATTAATTTTTCATTATTCACTTTAATTAAGCAACAACTACTTTGTTTCAACCAAGATTAGAAAAGTTTATACTCCTTTATAGTGCCAGAGAATGGTTTCTGTCACCAGATATATACATGTGTTGGCAAATAAGACAGACAAATATCAGACCTGTATGGGAGAAATACATTTTGCCAGTGGTTTTCTAAGGAAGTGTTTCCTGTTGTTAGGTTCTTGCTGATTTTAGGCAATATCGCTGTGAACAGTTTTTCTGAAGAAGTGAATTGATCAAAGAGGGCCCTGTTTCCACTGTCATTTTTAACCTACTAGAAGTAAATCACAGTCCTCCAAGTTTAAGCAATAACTTGGGTAATTATATTAGATATTGCACCAGTTCTGGATCATACATTCCCCATACTTGTATTATGTATCCCTTGGCTAAAAGGAATATATGTACCTAGTGTCATGGATTTCACGTGCATATTTTTTAACATTGCCTCTTATCACAGCAATTTGTTTGTTTAAACAAGTTATTGTTTTGCTCTCATGGTTTGTGAAATTCTTTTTCTTTAGTGCTGAGGTTACACAAACTATTCAGTTTTTGATAGCATGGAGAATAACTTTCCAAATACCAACAGAGATATATAAAAAAATGTTTCCCAGAGTGAGAGAAAAACACAGAAAATTGATGAGATACTGCAGCAGAACTTGAAATATCACTACTTTATGTCTTGCTAATGGGCGTATGTCATAGTTCCAAGTTTTTCTTTATGTAATTTGAGAAGGACACATATTTTCAAGCAAACTGTACTTCCGTGTGTAAAATGAAAAGACAAGTTCTTTGAAGTCTTACTGTGAAACGCTCAATGCAATCAGGACTATGAAACCAGGGAAAAATAGCAAAAAGTATTTATTTTCCTTTACGCTTATGTTAGAATTGCTTAAAAAAAAAAAAAAAGAGGGAAGGAGGGAGAATTTTACTCATTAATCATTCAGATAACTCACAAGTGAACAATAGTGCTCTAACCAAAAGCTTGTGCCTGGAATGGAAGTCCTCTCTCACACCCTTCCAGACTGACCTTCCCTCCCCCCATCTACCATAGCTCATATTTCAGAGCCGAGCTGGTTGCCAGCAGACTGTGAGCTGCCAGGAGGAGTGCGTTATTTGCTCAGAAGAAAAACAGAGGTGCAACCATTAACTGTCCCCTCCTGCCCCACTCCCCACGAGGACAAGACAGATCTCTACATAAGAGATGAACTTGTTATTCCTCATTGGTACAGCAAATCTCAATAAAAACCATTATGTGTGTCCACCTACACAAGGGTTTTATCACGATCAAGAGGCTGTGTGTCCTCCCAGAAAGATGAGTAGATCATGGCAGCTAACTTGTCCCTGTGTTCTCATGTGATCAAGTCCTAAAGCCAAATCCAGATTGTTTTTCTCACGTGATTTAGGCAATCTGTTTACATCTGGTCGGCAGAGAAGACATGAATCAATAAAAGCAGAATTTACAAAAGCACTCCAAGATTATGATGTTGTCCTTGGGCACAAGACATTTAACAGCAGGTCTTGCTTCTACTAAGAAATGTTTATTTATGTAGTTACATTTTGTACCAGCAGACACTGCAAGTGGATATGTATCAATACTTGAGGGTCTTTTGCCCCTGCTTTGAACAAAAACAAATTGGCAGCAGTGCCTCTTGCATTGTAGCTGTGTCTCTTCTTTGCAGTTTTTGCCTCATGGCTCTCTCTATTAGTCATGGAGACTGCGATGGCTGAATTTTCTTTAGCTTTGTCAGTCAAACTCTAAGAAATCAGGAAGAACAGTTCCAAATTCTGAAATTAAAAATTCAGTATTAGAAAAGTTTTATAGAAGCTAGGGATATTTTTGCTTTTCTTCTTCTACATCTTTTCTTTGGCAATGAATTAGTACTCACTGCTAATGATCAACCATAATTGAAGTATTTGTGTAAATGTGTGCACACTGTGCTTGGACTATATTTTGATTCCCAGGTAAGTTTTATATTTAATGGCAAGAGGATCTTTCCATGGAATTAGGTGTGATGAGACAAAGGAAATTACTTAGAAAAATTGCTGGACGTAGAGTGACATGATGACAATATAATAAACTCAACATTAAACATCTATAAATAGATGAACAAATTAAGCCCAGTGGCATTGGCTGTTACACAGGATTTTTTTTTTCAAATAAGCATGGAGATATGTTTTTCTCTTGAAATATTAATATTTGTCCAATAAACATTATTTATATCATGTCATCATAGTAAGTGTGGAATGAATAGAGTTTTCCCTACCAAAGCTCAGTATTTAGGGTAACACAATAAAAAAAACAGAAGTGTCAAGGGATGACTGTATAAATGAAAAACTGTGAAATAAGCTGGGGTGTAAATCTAAGAGCACAACAGCTATTCTCAGCCCTTCTTAACTAACGTGGAGAACATTCACATTCTCTTTTTTATTGGCAATGTTATATTGGCAGGTAGACAAACTCTCACTTACAATGTTTTAACAGCACTATGAGGTTAGGTTGAGTTGGGAGAGGCAATGAATTTAGAAGTGCAATGGCTGCTCTTCAGTAACTGTGCATGGATAGTCCTTATTTAGAACAAAAATATCTACACCAGCCCAAAGTATACTCCCCTCTGTAAAGTTACGTTTCAACTGACAATTTCTGTTGTCTGTTGCCTGGTGTAAAGTACATTTCCAGAAATGGTTTATCAGCACAGGAAAAGGGGTGGCAGGCAACTAGGGTAGGAGCAAGTAGCTGACCTTTTCATCTGTGTTAAGGTGACATCAGCCCCAAAGCCAGCCTGTAGTGTGATGGTGCAGATGGTGTTCTCCTCCTCCAGTTGACTGTTAATAGTAGTGGACCAAAGCAGTTTTAGAGAAGACACAGGTCTAATGTGCACAAGTTTCCCATTGCCTTTAACTTTTCAGCTCTTTATTGTTAGAACAAATTATTTTCCCCAGCCCATGGAGAGAGGCAATCACATGCCCAGATCGTTGAATGAGAAGACGCTTTTAACTCTTTTCTTTTTTTCTCAAGCAGGAAAGAAGATACTGTCAGTTCACAACTTCCTGGAGGTGATGGCTGCTGTGCTAGAAATGCTGACAACTACAAGAGTGTTATGTAAGAGCCAGCTAAACCTGTTACACAAGTATATCAGCTCCAAGGCGCTACCACACTCCAGAGCTGCTCTGGAGGCTTCCTGTTTTGGCACTACAGGAAGGCCAGTGTACAGTGCTGCTCGTGGCATGTCCTTCCAGAAGTGGGTGGGCGGGGTTGTAACATTTTTTTTCTGATTTCAGGCTTCAATGCCAAGGAATCTGGGGGGAGATTTCTGAGCAATAGAATTCCTCCAATTACTGCTTGTTGCTCAAGCTCCCCATCTCATACTTTAAATGAAATTATGTTACTGTTGTAACTACCAGTGAAGGAATGGGGTTGAATGCATACTGAAGCAGCCAGTTCAGCTGAATATGGACCTTGTGCTTGCAAGCTCTTGAAAGAGGCCACACCCTCATCAAACCAGTCCTGTCTAGATTCCTTCTGCTGCCCTCCCCCACAAGAGGTGACTGGCGCTGGAGCTGAACCTTTGTACACCATCTTCTCCAGCCAGGATGACTAATACTGTCTGCATGGCAGTGCCATGGAAACAGCTGTTAGGAAGTCAATAGAGTTGCTGGTGACCAGACCCATGAACAAGGATGGTGTCATGGGGAAAGAGTTTTCCAGAACCTTGAAACCTCATCTGACACAACTTCTCCCAGTGCTCACACAGAAAGACAGCCCTTCACCACGTGATCCAAAACAGTTCTTTCAAATACTGTTTTCTCAGCATCAGATCCCAACCTTCAAGGTGTTTATTCCTCCTCATACTTCTTCCTCACTAATGCAATTTATCCCTCCTCAGTGAATCAGATCAACAGTGAGGGAAGCTGTACTGTTAATTAGGTCACAGAAGAGGAGGGTGAAAAAAAAGAAAACCAGCCCAAAGTATACTCCCCTCTGTAAAGTTACGTTTCAAACTGACAATTTCTGTTGTCTGTTGCCTGGTGTAAAGTACATTTCCAGAAAGGGTTTATCAGCACAGGAAAAGGGGTGGCAGGCAACTAGGGTAGGAGCAAGTAGCTGACCTTTTCATCTGTGTTAAGGTGACATCAGCCCCAAAGCCAGCCTGTAGTGTGATGGTGCAGATGGTGTTCTCCTCCTCCAGTTGACTGTTAATAGTAGTGGAATAAGGTGCTTTTTCCAGCAGGTGTTTTTGAAAGAGAATCTGCCTTAGAACATGGGCAGTGACAGTCTTTGTCTAATCTCAGAAGAGGTGAAGTGTGGGTAGGGGTATATGAACTTTCACACCACTCTACTTCTTCCTTCCTCTTGTGGTTCTTTGGAATGTCCACAAGACCCCTATTAAAGCAAAAAGAAGTTTGGTTGCTATGATTTTTCTGTAATAAGCCTTGTAGCAGGGGCTGCCAACACAAGAACTGTGTTGTAGAAGCAGTACATGAAGTAAAGGGATATGAACACTACTTCCTCAGAAAATAACTGCCAGCTCATTTTGTATAGGCTGCTGAGAACCACCAAGCAAATGAATAACTTTCAGTCACTCCTAGCCTGAGAACACCTGGAAAAACCTGGGTTACAGGTTCTGGTTTATTAATCCTTTTAGTTTAGTATTTTAACACTTGTGGCACCATCCTGTCTTCTCACAGTAACACCACAAAAAGGTCCCTTGACTGCTCCTTTTATCTCTTGCTGTTCATCTGCCATGTTCTATTTCTTTTTCTTAGCCAGCTGAGTCAAATTTAATCTCTGTGCTGTTCTTCACCTTCTTCCCTTCCTTCCCCCACATCTTAATTATCACATAAATCCCTCCGGTTTGGTTTTTTCCCTCTTCCTGTCAAAAATTACTGTAAAAAATAAACAACAAAACCAAAAATTTAAGTTTTACAACATTGGGGAAAAGTAGGTAATTTTGTTTGCCAGCCCAGAGTCTCTGGAGAGAAAATCATCTTGCCTGTAAGACAGAAAAAGACTTTGACAGAAACAAAGCAGAAAGCATTAGCAAAAGTTGTTTCTAGCAAGTTGTTTCTCTGGGCATTCTACAGGAAGTTAAAAATTACTTTGGTAGAGTGGTTTAATACAGTATACTCTGTCCTACTGTAATCAGTGTTAGTTACTTCAGAGGGAGGTACAAGCTGAGGACTAACTCAGCTAACTAAACCAGAAAAAGTCTCTTTGAGAAGTGTAAAAGAGCTCCCAACAGAGCTTGTCTTCACTTGACTTTACCTTTTTGGCCATTTAACTTGAGGACCTGGTATTTGGAATGGTTAATTTGCACACTCGTCACACAACCGATCCAGATTCTAAATTTTCTTCTTTAAGATAAGACTTATCTTCACTGATGAAAAGGGGTGGTGCTTGTGTGCATTCCTAAAATTTCTCCGTAGAATGCTAGAGGAGACAAACACATGGACAATGACTACTTCAGTACAGTTAGACAAGGTCAGCATTATGCTCTAATACAGTCTGATACAGTCTTTCCTCTCATCAGGCTACATGTAGTGTAACAAAAACCACAAGGCTCTGAATTCCTAGCAAAATGGTTACTAAAATGGAAAACCCCTCTAATTTTGCCTGTAAAAAAGACAGGCTGCTATTTGCTTTTCTCCGGAATCTATTAGTTGTTTTTTCCCTTCCTTTTCCCCCTGTATTTAAATATAATTCTTGTGTGATGACTCATGTCAGGAAACAGAGCTGCCTTGTGTCCTTGTACAAGCTCCAGAAGGCGTATGTAGGTCAACAGAGCATGTACAGAATGTCCTGCAAACTAGAATGCAATGCATTCTACATTGTGAGTGCTTAAACTTAGAATTCAAGAGAGCTACAAGTACTGGTGGAACACTATGTCCTGGAGAAAAAAATAAACAAAAGGAAAAAAAAAAAAAAAAAGAAAATCCAGTAGCAAGAAATTACATCTGCTAAAAAAAATCTGGAGCCATCATTTTTGAGAAACCACTTTGTTTCAAATTACTCTTTGCTAAGTTGTATAGAGTAGAGAACATCATGAAGTAGGTAGTGTGAAAATTCACATTTAGGTAGTGTGAAAATTCTGATTAAAACTAAATAAATTATAAAATTGTATGGTGACCCAAATAGCTTTTTCCACTGTCCAGCCTTTTCCCATTGCTTCCACGACTCTGCTGTATGACAGGTAATTATCTTTGATTTATGGACAGTTACAACCTGTATGCGTTGAGAAGTTCTGTCCAAACATTAGTCACATTTTCCAACAGTATCAGCCATGATTCATGTGGAAAAGAGTGTGAAGCCTAGACATGAAGATTAAATTATAAAAAAATAAAAGTTTTATGATTTGTTTAGATCTGTAGAGCCCAAATAATATAATTTGGTTTGCCATTTCACTTCCCAACATCCACTTCATGCTACAAGTCATGCCTGGGGAACTTAAATAAACTTATGAGGACTTTGCAGAGAACTGACATCAAGCTGATGTAAAGCTGGTTAATTCTTTAAAACAGAACAGAAAAATTGACACTGATGAAACCAAATCTCAAAGTTACTTTTTCCAAGTACTACTTCTGAGTATGATTTTACTGTAGCAGTTTTTGACAATTAAATTTTCTTGTTTTTTAGATTGTGTTTCCATCAGTACAAATACTGATTAGACAAGCTGTGATTCTGACTGTGCATAAAATGGTAAGTTCACAGGTTCATAATGCTTAAATTTCCCTGCCAGTAACTTCTCTCAGCTGAACTGGGAATAAATATAAAACTAGTTAATTATGGTGATCTTATACTTTATCCTCTCAGCTCCTTAAGATCTCCTGGGTCATTATGGAAATAATCTACCTTTTTTATTATTTATTCAGCCCTGAAGTGCCAGAAAATTTATCTGTCCTGGAACTGTGAACACTGGTTATCAAAAGTATTATCTAATCAGAGGGAAATAAGTTTTAAAACAGTCCTTAGACTGCAAGGAATCCAAATCTTATCTGCCTTTCCTGGTGCAAATAAAACTACAAAATGCTGCTGGATAAATTTAAGACCTTGAATCTTTCTGCAGTGATACAAGTTGGAAGTAAAGCTGGAGGCACAGGGAAGAGACAAAGTCTGACCTTGTTTTACTCTTTTATATGTCAACCACAGAGAGAGACTCAAAAAAAATTATGCAGGATTTTTGTTTGACATACTAGGTATATTTTACTTGCAGGAGCATTGAAAATGTGTCCTTGTAAGAAAATGCCAGTTATGAAATGCACAAAATGTCTCTGGAAAACATAAGCCATATACAAAGGTCAGGAGACCTCTTGTAAGGTGGCAGATTGTACCTCTCTTGTTTGAGGGGTTAGAATTCTTTGCTTCAGACTGGAGAGAAATCACAGAGTTTGAAAAGGGTCAATTGAACTATGCAGAGGCTGAGATGAGTTCTGTTCTGCAAAAAAAGGGTTTCAGCTGGGATCCTGGGAGAAAACTATCCATCTCAGCTCTTTCAGCTTCACCCAGTTAGGCTTCTTCTTGTTGAACCGTTATGTCAAGGAGAGGCATCAGATCAATGAATTCCTTTCAGCCATGCCTTTCTTAGCAAGCCTCATCTGCTGAGAGTTGTGCTTGTACTCAGTTGGGAACAGATTTCATTGTGTCTTGGAAATGGCTTCTGTCTGGTTTTTATACTGTAAATTCTGGATTCTAGGTAATTACTTTAGCCCAGGTTTTAAAATAGATCCATATAGTTTTGCAAGAGATTTCAGCTGCTTAGTGCCATTTCTCCTATGCTGTTAGTGAACCACTGAATTTTCATTAGCAGGGTGTCTCAACCAAGGACATCTTGAAATGGTAGCATGATTTTAACTTGTCGTGCTCCAGTGCTGTGTGAACTTCAGTTTTTCAGATTTGGCATTTCCAACTGAGAACCTGAACATGCTAGGAAAATTTGTAGACTTTAGTTTTGACACTTTCTTCATCATCCTGATAGACAATCTCCATTGGTTCATCTCCTGATTGTCTTCAGTTCCTGTTAATAGTTTAGGAGCAAACAACTTTATACCTCAGCATTCAACTGTAATAACACCGATTTGTCCCCTTCAAGTTTCTGCTGACAACACAGGAAAAAAACTTGGAGGAAATAAAAGGCAGGAGGTTTGAACCCTGATGTTCAAGAACAGATGGAATTTTATTTTCTTGAAAATTTTCCATAATCAAAAGAGATTTATCATTACACCATTTCCAACAGGGAAAAAACCAACAAAAAAATACAAAAAACAAAAAAACTTCAGTAAATTCTTTAACCTGCAAATCTTCCAGCCAGTATTCCCGATCCTTTTGCTTTAAGATCACAAAATAGCCTGACACATCAGGAACTGGGAGCTGAAAGAACCCTCAGGTCAAACCAGTAAGGAAACCAGGTCTGACTGTGTGAGAGTGAGGTGTGTAGGGTTTCAGGCTGCCCACTGGAGTTGCTCCCTGAAAAGGGGCCTCCATCCCATCAGTCGAAGTCTCTGGTGGTGAGTGTGACTGCCGGAGTGTTCCTGAACAGTCAGACAGGAAAGTTTCCTTAACACGAGGGCTGTGAAATCTTCACAGAGGGCTGCCTTCTTCACTTGTCAGGTGATTCTGGTTCTTCTTCTGGCCATTTTGCTGAGATGCAGATATGAGCTCAGCAAATTTATTCTTCAAACTTCTCTCTTCCTTGGAGCTTTATCAGCTACTCAACAGGCGACAGCCTCTATCTATAGAGGTATGCAGATGGAAATAAAGGAAAAAAAGGAAATTTTTATTGCCCAAACACTAGCCCAAGCACCAGCAAGGATGACATTTTCTTTATCACTTTTTGATTATTTCTTTTCCCAGTTTGAAGTGCATTTGAAAGGAACATAGTGTTTTCACTTGCAGTTCATTTCTACGCACCCAGCAAGCCTATACAGAGTTGATACTCACTTGGAGAGCATCTGAGGAATCTGCAGCTGTGACTGTAATTGCACACTCAAACCTTATGGTAAATTATCAGAATTCTGCAGCATTGCTCTAAGTTGGTGAGGAATTGATGAGGCTGGCTGAGAAAAACAGGAGTTGAAACCCTTGCTTATCTTTGCAGCTGGCTTCAGCAAAGCCTAATGATTGAAGGATCCTCCACAGAAAGAACAGGGATCTGTCACAGGCATCACAATGGGGCTACATTGAAGCACAGAGAGAGGTGTGACCACTCTAAGAAGGTCTGTACTATTTTCTGCATAGACTCATAAACCAGTTGTAACTGCAAATACTTGTACTGCATGGTGCACTTGTGTTTAGACAGGAGGTTGACATCAGGTTAACACAATTTGAGAACAGGAGAAAACTGTACACAAGTAAATGGAGAAGTTGATCCAGGTGTGGAGGAATGCCAGATGGAGAGTAATAGGCAGCAGAACTGCTCATCGGAAACATACATGGATTCAGCATGACCCTGTTTCCTGCAGGACTCTGATGAGTACAGCACTGAAACAGGTGAGATGACTCAGAGACAGCTTCTTGGATATATTTGTCAGTGCTACTGTGGAAAGCCAGAAGCCAGCAGGAAGGTTAGAACGGTTTCTTTGTTGGTGTTCAGATGTAACAGAGGTCATTCCTTCTCCTCTTGATATAATCTGGCAGTGGGTATAAAGCCATTTCCTGAAACTATGTGTGCCCTAGTGACTCATTAGTTTTACACTGGTTTCCTTTAAAAAAAGTGAGTTCTAAGGCAAAAGATTAAACACTTCTAAGGCAATTGTAGGTTCATTTTGACTCATTGGTCTGTTTTTAAATGTCTTCCAAGCCTTTTCTTTGTTAGTCGTGTTAGTTTAAGAGGTGTACATTGATGTTAGAACCTGGGCATCATAATTATCACTGCCTTCTAGAACTAGGTTTGGGGTTTTGTTTTGGTTTTGTTTCTTTGAGTTTTTTCCAGTCATGAACATTCATAAATTTCCATGTATTTTTTTTTTTTCACCAGAGTCACGGTTTAACCACATTACTATTCTCATACTTAATTCAAAACACAGCACTTATTGGCTACTAAGAAGAAAATTAGTAGCTGAAAATTAACCCAGCTGAAACGAAGACACATGAAGGAAAATACCACATAATTCTAGAAAAGCTCCTCTTTGGAAGGAGATAGGCAAGTTACAGTTGTAATATGGAGCAGAAGCTGGTGATTTGCCCCCTCAAAAAATATTTCTAGAAAAAGTGTCTTGGATTCAGGTACACATATATATAGCATCACTATATTTCTAAGTTCTTGAACAGATCTTGCCTTCTATGGACTTAAACTTTTTCTTGCCAACAATATGGCAGTCTCAAAATTAAAAATATCTTGTCATCTGTTTGTTTAAGATCAAAGGCAAATTTTAAATGAACTGGTAGGATACTCTAGTATTAACATGATGGTGTAGGAATGGCATTCCCCAATTTAGTGCTCCCACTTGAAACTCAAAACCACACCATGTTGGTCCACTCCCCCTTCCCTCTCTGCCTCCATGCTGCAGCGGATTGGAGCGAAGAACTGGAGGCACAAAAGGCAAAGCTCACTGGCTGAAATAAGCAAATGAACAGCAACAAAAACAATATTAATAATAAAAGCATATAAAAGAGAGAGTGCAGAGCTTGACCTGACCACAGTCACACCATGCTGACCATTCATTCTACTCAGAATCAGCTTTACCTCACTGCTCCATCCATCACGCTTGCTCAACCAGCAGGAACCTGTTCTCCCCTGGAAGCAAGAGAGTTTCTTCCCCCTCCCTGCCCTCAGCAATGTCTGAGGTGGTGTGGAATAACTGCCAGGTCCTGGCCACACCACCTCCCCTTTACTGCAAAATTTAACCCTGTCCTAGTTGCAACCAGGACAGGGTGAAATTGGTCTTAGCATTCCACATTCTCTCTTCCCCGCCTCTTGATGCTGGATATTTATAAGAGAGAGCTGTTCATTTTTAAGGATCTTATGTTGGGTTTAAAGTTAATCAGTTCCCACTTGCTAGCATGCTTATACTGGAAACTGCCAAGGAAAACCCATTTGCTTCAGTTAAAAGACTAGATTTTTTTTCTCCATGCTTTTCATTGTAAAAACTTTGATTTAAAGAGACCTTGAATTATTTTGTAAAAGGAAAAATTGCATCAATGTCCAGTACTATTCTGCTTCATACATGCATCCCTTACAGAATGCATGACTTTGAATGAGAGTTTTCCTCCATTAGAAATTAAGTACTGTGATCATTTGTCTGTGGCAGAAATAATTTTTTACACATTTGTTGTAGCATTCCTCAGCTATGATGTTCATACCAACACTATATATTTAGGCATGCCATGATAAAAGAGAACCACCCATGAAATATTACCTATGTGAGAGACCCACTGAGGGTCCAATTAGGAACATACAAGTCTGTTCATGGATGAATATATATATATATAGTGACGTAATGGTCATAAAAATAGCTAAGCCTTCCTTGGTTTGGATTCTTCAAACATGCACGTTTTCATATGTATATTAACCCAAGTTTATTTCATGCAAGTAAGGTGAGCACACTAGTACATAGGCACAGTAGTTAATTGACTGACCAGGCCTGGTAGCTTACAAAGTAAGTCTCTTCAGAAGTCACTCATGAGAGCCTTATTCTAAGTATTTAATACTACTTTGTAATACTACTGTGCAGGCATGCAGCTGTGAAAGGAATTTGAATATATAATTTTCTGCTTACAGATGCAATAATGTAATGCAGGAGAGTATGCAGTGTGCAAGGCTGCATTGGCTTTCTTGCCTCTCAGGAGAGTAAGTTAGAGGAACACGTTGTTAGAACTGAACTGTTTGGAACAATGGGATTTCACAACAGAGATGACATTGCAAAGGCATCCTGAATTGGTAAATACATATCTTGACTTATTTAACTACACATTTCTACTTTAATTACAAAATACACAGAAGTAGAATTGCAGGGACATTGGCAAATAGTCCTTCTTACTCTTCTGCATTCTATTCTCAGCTGTAATTCAGCCTTGCTGTAGAAGAAAAATCATTTCACACCTCATCATTCAGTGACGTATCTTCCATGCAGTCATTCTCTTAGCCACTACCACTCGGTGTTTATATGAGCTAAGGGGAAGGCTAAGCATTTTCTTGTAAGGACTCTGCCAGAGTTTGGGTTTGGGAGACACAGAAATAATTTCATGGGTGCAGTGTTGCACAGTACTCTTTGTTCTTAACTCTTCTGACTTTGTCTGATGGACTACTTCCCTTATGGCTCTCACTTCCTTCTCTCATCAACATTGTACTTCCTGTCTCCAATGGTCCTTCACAACCTCTCATTCTCTTTGCTTTTCCTGCAACCAAGCCCTTCCGTTTTTTCCCCACCATATAAAGCAGATAGACGTATACATATAAAGGCACACCCTGAAATTGAAAAACGAAGACAGAAATCATGGAACCAAAAATATCAGCTACTGTTTTCCTCTATTTTTGTCTTTTTTGTCCTTCATGTCTGTCTTACTCTTTAGATTTTAAGCATTCCTTAAGCTCCATAGTGAAAGGTAGTGCACTGTAAAACCTTAGATATTTTCAACAATTCCAACAACAGAACATTTAAGTGCAACCATTGCATAAAAGAACTTGAAAATTATTAAACTTTATGACCTCCTTCCCTCCCACACAAACACCTTTCCTGGGTTTTTTTAACTATTAAAAATAAAATATGTGGGCAGCTGAAAAATTCATGTCCATGACATCTACTAGGCAGAAAATAAATTATGGAAAATTAGCAATTTTCTTCAATTGCAGAATTATTAAATCCTACCTGTATTTTTTTCTGAAGGGTTTTACAATAAATCCAACATTTGTTTTAATACATCTTTATAAGATGCTGTAATAGGATATTTTACCCTTCAAATTTAATTTTAATTAATATAATTCTAGTATTATTTCCATGTCTAACCTTACTGTAGATGCATGCAAGTCACATTGCATCTTGAGACAGAAATTGAGAATAAAAATATCCCTACAGTGGTCTCTGGCCACAAAACCTTTCCTTTCCAAAACATACAATGAAATTATGAGTTAATGTAAACGAGGATGACTGTTGCTTTTCACATGAATGAAAGGCAGTTACTTTAGTTATATATCCCAAAGAAATGACCTATTTATTTTGTAGCTGAACAGTAAAACCAGTTTTTAACTCTTAAAGTAGAGCAACCCAGCCTAGGATGCTCAGAAACTAGGGCATCATTGCTAATTGTCTTAGTGCACAGTATGGCAGCTTTAGTTAAAATCCCCAGTAGCTGGCTGTTTGTGGAGAGGGTCCACAGCAGACTGAGGGTCAGATGAAAGAGTTAACAGAAAGAAGAAGCCAGCAGGATTCTTGTGTGTCCATGGGAAGAAGAAAAAGAAGATAAAGGTAGAGGAAAACAAGGAACATCTGTGCTGAGAAAAACACCATGGAAAAATGAGATCTGTCTGTATTTTGGATTTTTGGGGATACTTTCTCAAAACAATGCTTCCATCAACGGACTTGGGGGTTATGTGGTGATGGCAAATTAAATGGGGTGCACTATAAGGCCAGAAGGGTATAAAAACACTGTGTACAGGCACAATAAAATCTTGGATGAAGTTTCTCACGGATCTGCTTTGTGTGGCATCTGCTCCAACAGCAACAGCTGTTTTCCTCAAGCATCTCAGCTTCTGAAGTCCAGTTGCAATAAACCCTCCAGTTCAAAGAAGATCTACATTTTGTCCTGTGCAAGTTCCCTCCAACAGGAGAGGGACAAGTTACATCCCAGGCTGCAGCCAGGGAATCTGCTTTTGGGAAGAACAGCACACTGAGAGACATGTATCATGGACATGGCCTGACATTACTCCTAATGGAGTAATGGCTCTGTCCACTCCTGATTCACCACATGGCAGACAGGCATGAATGATTTGAGTGCCAGAGTGGGGGGAGGCAGCAACAGTGCACCAGCAGTGCGTGATCTGTGGGTGATGTAAAATGAGACAAGAAGATTTTGAGACAGCCTGAAGCTTCCTGAGTCAGGGATCTGTAGCCTGTTTATTCCTAAAAAGTTTAATTGTTAGTGTAAATGTCAGATAACAGTGTAAAGATCTGCAGTCCTGCTTTGTCATTACCCTGTTTATAGGTTTTGGGGTCTCACTACCCCAAAGTTTATGGCATCATTTACAAAATCAGAATTGTATATTAACAAATCAATATATCAATACACATGGTAAAGTAAAGCGTGGGGTAGAGGAAACCCTCAGCTTCATATGTAACTGTTTAGCATTGCAAATAAGCAATTGCAAATGAGGGCACATGCAATAGCTGGATAACTGAAATAAAACAGGGTGTTTTCAACAGCACAGTTGACTATAAAAGTGTTACTATTCTGTGCTTGGTATTAGACATGTTTTCAATTTAAACTCAAGCTGAGTGTAAAGGTCTCTTTACAGATGGAATTATTCTTTTCCATATATCTGATAAAGAATATCACACATTTCTTCTAAGAAGACCGTAATTTGACCAATGGATGCTGGTGATGGTGATAAAGAGGAAGACAGAAGGCAGGGCATTTTATCACATTATCTAGAAACCAGAAATAAAATTCTACATTTCAGAAATGCTATAAAATCTGTTCGTGAATCATAAAAAGAACTTGTAGTTACAGTGATTTGTACTTCTAGCAGAATTTTGATGGCTGAAGAACTTAGGGTAGTTAGTGCTTTTTTGCAGTACAGAAACTGGGGAGTGAGGGAGCACTACATCTGGGACTTCACAGGTTTGATTTTAGACTATGGCAGTGAATCTCCCTACATACTTGCTTCTAGCCTGGCTCCCCATCAGCTGTTCCTCAATATACCCACTTCACAGGAAAGTTGATACTAAAAGGGCTATTCTAAAATGCTAAACAGAAGTCCTGTAGAATAGGTCTAGTACCAGAAGTTCAGCTTGACGTGTAGAGATTTCAATCCAATTTAAAAATTTGTTACCATTGCAGAGTTTGATAGTAAGGAAAAAAACCTCAGAATTGGTTTCTCCTGTGGATGCAAAAGACACAAGTTTAATGTCTGGAGTAGAACAAAAGAATATCCAAAGTGGACGCATTCTTATATATCTTTGAGTGACAGAACGGTTTTTGTTGGAAGGGACTTTCAAAGGGCCATCTAGTTCAACCTGCTGCAATAACCAAGGACACTTTCAACTCAGTCAGGTTTCTCAGAACCCTGTCCAACCTGACCTTGAATATTTCCAAGGATGAGACACTTATCACCTCACTGGGCAGCCTATGCCACCCTCACTGTAAAATAATGATTCCTTATATCCAATGTAAATTAAGTTCCTTCAGTTTGAAACAGTTACGCCTTGTTCTATCACAACAGGTCCTGCTAAAAGTGGCCCATCTTTCCTACAGGCCCCCTTTAGGTACTGGAAAACTGCAATATGGTCTTCCTGGAGCTTTTTCATCTCCAGGATGAACATCCCCAACCCTCTCAGCCTACTTACCTATAAGTAACTATAGCAAAACTGATGTGTGACAAGCAGCCACTATGCTGCAGAAATAGAGTTGCTTTGCAGACTTTTACTATGATTAGCAGTTAGTAGTGTCCTGTTAGTGATTAGAGGTATGAGAAGCTTGTATAAAACTGTAATTGGGATATTCCAGTTTGGCTGGGGACACATCACATGCATGCATGAATATTTACCCTTGTATTCTATATTTTTTGTCTTAGCCACTCTATTCATTTGGCATGAGCAAGTCATGAATTTTCAGAACATCTAGAACAGAAAACCAAAAAAGTTAACTATCATTGTGCAAACATCTTGTTTCTCCATTAGTTTCCTCTGGACCTCTCTCACTTTGTGACCTCTTTTGTTGGGATGCAAAGTCCAGATCTCAGCTAGTCTTTGTGAACACATCCTGGTTTAGGGAACTGTATTTTGCCTACCTGCATTACTATTGCTAATCATGAAAGGAAAGTACAATCCTGATGACCTGATTTTAGAGAGCAACTCCACTGCCTGGAAGTGATACTCTCCAATGGGCTGCTTCTGATCACAATCTCCACCATGAGAACCAGAATTGGGGCAGGGATGGTCCATAATGCCCTTTCACATGCCAGCAGTCTCTCAGCTTGCCCTGTCTGTGGATTGGAGCGGGGGACACAGAGCAGATTGGAAGGGCCAGCCCCAGAGGCGGCCGGAGCCAGATCCCTCAGCATCAGGCCAAGGCTGCCCAGGCACAGCCAGCACCTTCCCACAGACACTGGCTGTGCCTCTTACGCCTCAGCCGATCCTCGCTCCTGCTGCTTGCCCTGCTGGGGGCCTGGTTTAAAGGCAGGTTCCCACTCCCCACCCCCACTCCCTGCCATGTTCCCAACTCTCCAGAGGCATGCCTGAACCCCGGTTGCCAGGCAACACCAATCCTTCATGCGTTGCCAGGGAATGGGTCCTGCTGAGGCCACCATGGCCATAGGTCTCAGGGACTCCGTCCACAGGCTGGAGTCACTGAGCCCAGGCCACATTCCCTGTGTTGCTCTACACAGATATGAGACCACTGGCCACTCTGTGGCTCTGAAAAACATGATGAAAACATCTTGTTCATATTTTCGTTCACTAAAAGCAGAGCCAAGGCATTCAGGTGGGCTGCACAACCCAATATCATGCACCCCACTGTGGTCACAGTTCAGCCAACAGGCAGATGTGTTACTTCTATGAATGCCATATGTTGGTGGAATTGGTTTTCTCTGAAGGTACTCAAGGGAGTTGAAGGGCGTTTGTGCACATGAGTGCACATGCCTGTGCATAGTCAGAGAGCAAATATCATGAAGGGATCATCCTGAGTGGGAAATAAATCCCTAAAAGCATTTGGTTTCCTTTTCTAGGAAAACTACTCTTACTACTTACCACTCTACCAGGGAATTAGCAAGTAAGTAGTAAGCAAAACTATGGCGCTAATCCTTGGCAAGAATCTCAACGGTAAAGGGAAACCCAAAACTCTTCTTGCAAATGGACGTCATTTTTGAGTAATTTGAGTAAACCACTTTAGAGGGAGCAAGGCCACTAAAAAAACCATGAGCCTGCAAAGAACAAGAAAATTATTCACACAAGCAAAATCCGAAACAGCACAAACCTATGACCCCTTTGCAACATGTCGGTGACTTTCCTGGATAAATAGCTTCACCTCCTTTTCAGCATAACTGTAGGGTAATTCCAGTTCTCACAGTTTTGATACAACATATAAAACAACTTTGGTTTTCTGCTGTTGCTCCAATGCTGTAGCTTACAATTGGTTTGTCAATTGGTAGCTATGTAGTTTCCCACTTTATTTTGCTGTTGGGTCACCAAAATTGTAAATGAACCTGCTTTTTTTCTCAGTTGAGAAGCCCTGAACAGTTTCACATTTATGGTAGAAGTGGAAAGCTATGGACACACTGGCAAAGAGTAAGGCAAAAGAGATATCAGACCCTGGAGTTGCTGGAGCAGGTGAAACAGATAGACGTGTCTTGTCGACATATCTCAGAAGTAAATGGGCTGATATTAGCATGAGACTAATACAAAATGCAGCAGTACACAGAAGGCTGGAGAGAAATGCACCTAAAAATCTCAGTAATCTGAAAGGAGATGAGGGTTTCATGTCTTTTGTTCAGAGTTTTGTCCCCTGACAGTGACTCATGACCAGTTTTCAATACAACCTCAAAATATATTTTTGTGGGTCAAGTTTTGGGAACAGGAATGTAAGAGTAATTATAAAGAGAAAGATGTAAAGAAAGAAAATTAAATTAATTTAATTAGTAAAGCATTTTAATAGATACATTCTTTCAAAATATATCAAATATATAAGTGGTATTTCTGGCAATTATTTCTGTAGTTGTCCAGGTCTGTCGTTGATCAAACACTGTGTGGAAGGTATGTTATTTTAAGTGTTGTGATATATTTACTTCTTCGTCATCTATCACACAAAAAGTTTTATTTTGGTATCTGACAGTGTTACTGACAGTGTTACTGTCAGATACACTAAAAAGTTATGCATTCCTCTTATTTCAGGTAATTCAGCACTCGCATCATGAGGGTGGGCTGTTTAACTCAGGTTAGGGTGTCAAGTTCTAGATATCTCTGTATGTCTTCTCTTTTGTTTCTAAAGACAGACATAAATTGAAGTCACACAATGAGTGTTTATTGGTTAAAAAATGTCTGCATTTTCAATTAAATATATTTTAATTGTTTTCATTAACTAGTATTAATATAACTATATTTTATTATATTAATGCCACTATATATACTATATTCTTTTAGTACAATACAACGAAAAGTAAAATGTAATTTTCTTTCAAAATAAGTTCTAAAGAGTAGCACTGGCATCTGAAAGTTGAGTGAAAATGCAAAATAAAGAGAGAATTTGCTCAAAGATGTTGTAAGCATTTAGAACATGCTGCTGAATCACAGTATCCTAGAAGCATTAAGGTTGGAAAAGACCTGTAATATCAACTGTCAACCCAGCACCACCACCTTGTTCACCACTAAACCACTAAACGATGTCATCAACTGAATGGCAGGAGAATATCTTCCATGTATCTATGGGTTTTTTGCATGAGCTATTTCTCTTCCTCCATCTCCAACTGGGATATTTTTTTCCACAGAAAAAACTGCATTATAAATATGGCCCTCCCCTGTTGGACTGTGAACCTGATAATGAAGAAACTGAGTATGATGAGACAATATTTTGAATTTCTCTAAGTTATTCACTTCATTTTTAAACAAATGAGCTACATTTGAAAAGATTATTTTGTTAACGATTAACAGCTGTACTTGAATGATGAGCTATGTCAAGAATACATTAAAATTCCAATTTGTAAGACTATAGCAGAAAAACAGAAACAAAACAAGAACCTGTACCGGCTTGTGTTAAAAGGAACTTGCATTTCAGCATATTTATCAAAAGGTAAAGAATAAAGGGAAATATTTATTACACAATAATAATTTTGGGCTCTTCTTAGTTTGAGATGGGGGAGGCAGAAAGGTGTTTTAATTTTTGTACTGTTCATTCCCCTAATCAATTCTAATGGACAATAAATTAAAGTTTCTCAGGTCAAATTTGTTTTTCCAGTAGCAGTAACTGGTGATTTCACTGTCTATCTTGACTGTCCTAAGCTTGTCACCCTATTTTTTCTAACTGGTCCTGTTGAAGAGGGGGAGTGAGAGATCAGCTGGGTGGGGATCTGACTGTTAAACAAGGCTAAGTCACCACAGTCTCTTTTGTTGTCCAACATGTGGTTGAAGGAATATAGAGATAATGACAATAATTGGGAGAGGCAGTGCACGAAACTTGAAATGGACGCTGCCAGGGAGTGGAGTAATTTGGGGGAGGTTTTTTTCGTGTTGTAAGTGAAGCTTGTGGAGAATGTGGTATAAATGTATATTTTCATAACAAAAGTAACTGTTTTATGTTTCAGGTCCATGTATCATAGGGAATGTCTCCATGAGAGGGTTCTGCTACAGTGGTAGAGGGATACAATTTTTTCTGTATGTACATGTTAGCCTCTTACCCAAATTCTAAGTAGGCTTTCTCACCAGTGCCCCTCCCCTCCCCTCCCTTCCCCTCCC